ACAGAAATAAATGAGGACAAACAGCACATTACAGTACTTAATTTGACATTTGCATATGTTCCTCGCTCACACACTAACCCTTTTAAGGCAAAAATCAGATTATTAAAACATCAATATGCTGAAACAGTATACTCCACTGACTTATATTGCACTTTAAAATGAAGATATACAGTATACTGATATGGTTCCACAGTTATTGATGGTAAAAAAAAATATTTTTATGACCAATATATAACATTTTGAACTCAAAGAAATACAAAATGCACCAAATTATTATTATTATTAATTCATTTGAATATGCATATACTAGTACAATTAGTGGACTCAACACAAATACCCCCCCTCCTAAAAAAAATCAGACTTATGGGTCTTCCTTGAAATATGTCGCACGTTTCTTCAACGCAAAATTAAAAATATATCCATTCTTCAAGTAGTCCTCCATCAGAATAATTTACTGGGTGCACATCTTTTCCAATATTGGCAGAATCATGTCGAAGGAAGGACGTTTGCCCGGGTCCTCATTCATGCAGATACGAACCAGCTTGGAGATGTGGGGAGATATTCCAGGTGGAACACTTACGCGAAGACCCTCCAATGCGATCTGGGAATATAATACATCTTAAAAAGGGCTGTATCAAACAACAGGTTTGTAAAGAGAAAAACACACACAGTTTTATAACAAAATTCAAATTCACCTATGTACAAACATGCAAGTTTCATGTTTCAAGTACCAATTGTCTATGCAACTTCCTCATGTATTCATTAACCTATCTCTTTAGACATTAATTCATCATCAATATCTACACACCAACAACTGCATTCTTATTCAAGATGAGCACCACTGTTTTACTGCGAGTTGTAACAAACATTTCAGTACAGTGTATCTAACATATATACAATACATCACCCATCAGTTTAACAAGGATGTACAGTTTGGCTAGTGATACACTCGTAGGAAAGAATATGGAAGATCACTGAAGCTAAATTTCTTGTAATTATAACTGAAATCGACTAAAATTACCTTAAACAACTAGGCAATATCATCCACAATCTCCTTCCCACAGTTGACAATACCCACTCTGAACCTTCCTCCTCAACCTCCATAAGCCTTCTCAAAAGACGACACATAGTGATGAAGCTTGCTAATCCGGACCACATGGGAAGGACCTCCATCTGAATAGGCCGGTCACCCGGATTCACGGACGTTTTACCGGGAAAGTCCAAAAGTGAACATATTCAAACATTATTGTACCACAACCAACATAATTTGAATTAGTGTGTGTGGGCTGGGTGGGTGGTTAGCTGCCTGGCTGGTAGGTGGGCAGGGCAAGTAGGTGGGCAGGGCAAGTAGGTGGGCAGGGTAAGTGGGTGGGCAGGGCAAGTGGGTGAGTGGGCAGGCTGGATGGGTGGATGGCAGGCAGATGGGCTTGGTGGATGGCAGGTGAGTGGGCGGACAGGCAGGCAGCTGGGTGAACAGGTGGATGGGCAGGAAGGCAGGTTTCAGTGGGTGGGCAGGCAGGTTTCAGTGGGTGGGCAGGCAGGTTTCAGTGGGTGGGCAGGCAGGTTTCAGTGGGTGGGCAGGCAGGTTTCAGTGGGTGGGCAGGCAGGTTTCAGTGGGTGGACAGGCAGGTTTCAGTGGGTGGGCAGGCAGGTTTCAGTGGGTGGGCAGGCAGGTTTCAGTGGGTGGGCAGGCAGGTTTCATTGGGTGCGCAGGCAGGTTTCACAGTGGGTGGGAAGGAAGGTTTCACAGTGGGTGGGCAGGCAGGTTTCAGTGGGCAGGCAGGCAGGCAGTCTGTGGCCACACAGGCAGGAGGGCGGGTGACACTCTCCCTACCCATGCCATGCTCCCATTCTCCACCTCCCAGCTCTTTCAGGAAGACAGGTTGTTAGGATGCTAACAGGATACCTGCTTGATAGCTGCTTGATGGGGTTCTTGGAGTTCTTTTACTCCCCAAGCCCGGCCCGAGGCCAGGCTTGACTTGTGAGAGTTTGGTCCACCAGGCTGTTGCTTGGAGCGGCCCGCAGGCCCACATATACCTGGTTGATGGGGTTCTGGGAGTTCTTTTACTCCCCAAGCCCGGCCCGAGGCCAGGCTTGACTTGTGAGAGTTTGGTCCACCAGGCTGTTGCTTTGAGTGGCCCGCAGGCCCACATATCCACCAAAGCCCGGTTGGTCCAGCACTTCTTGAAGAAAATTATCTAGTTTTCTCTTGGAGATGTCCAGGGTTGTTCCAGCAATATTTCTTACACTCGCTGGGAGGATGTTGAACAACCGTGGACCTCTGATGTTTATACAGTGTGCTAACAGGATGCTTATACAGGATGCTAACAGGCTAGACAGGCTGTCAAGCTGCATAAAGTCTGTGCCATTTCAAATACAGAGCACCACTTGGTTTCCGAACCCCTTGGGGATAAGACCTGTTGGTTATCATGTAAGTTCGTAAACGAGAAATTGAGGAAAATGAAGACACAATTAAAAAATCTAAGGGAAAAAATCGACAGGTTCATAGCATGAATGCGACAGTATTTTGTTTGCACTCACCAATTAGAGAAGTCCTGGTCCACTTCTCCCTCGGGAGTTGCAGGACCAAAGAGCCAGAGCTCAACCCTGCGAGGACAACTAGAACACCCTCATTGCTACTGCCCTCCCTCCCCCCGAAGTGGCTAGCTTAGTAGATTGCCAGAGAATTTCCATCTAATACAGTAAAGCATTCATGAAATACGTATTTTTATAACTTTTTATTATCCTAATAATATTACTAAACAAAACCTGTAACCAAACATATATATGAAGTACATTTACGAAACAAATGTGGCTAATGGGTTGAGGGTGGTTAGGCTTACCCGAGTCAGCCAGTCCCTCTCCCACCACTGACACACCACTCCTCCCCTCTATCCCCCCCCCCATACACACTCTCATCACGTGGCTCAGGTGACCTCAACACCCCACCCACCCACCCACCCACCCTCCCACCCACCCTCCCTCCCACCCACCCACCCACCCTCCCTCCCTTCCTCCCTCCCTCCCTGCCAGCCAGCCTCCCTGCCAGCCAGCCTCCTGCCAGCCAGCCTCCCTGCCAGCCAGCCAGCCAGCCAGCTAGCCAGCCAGCCAGCCAGCCAGCCAGCCTGCCAGCCTGCCAGCCTGCCAGCCTGCCAGCCAGTGCGAGAGGCGAAGCACCCGAGAAAAAAGGGTGCAAAACACCAACACTGAAACACACACACAACACAACACATGAAACACAAACAAATGCCTGATTTTTCAGGCATCCCTGTTTACAGGAGTTGTAGCTGAAGTGTGGTAAAAGGCTAACATAGTTCCAATCTACAAAAGTGGAAGCAGGGAAGACCCCTTAATTATAGACCTGTATCATTGACAAGTGTAATAGTCAAAATATTGGAAAAAATAATTAAAACTAAATGGGTAGAACACCTGGAGAGAAATGATATAAAATCAGACAGACAGTATGGTTTTCGATCTGGAAGATCCTGTGTATCAAATGTACTCAGTTTCTATGATCAAGCAACAGAGATATTACAGGAAAGAGATGATTGGGTTGACTGCATCTATCTGGACCTAAAAAAGGCTTTCGACAGAGTTCCACATAAGAGGTTGTTCTGGAAACTGGAAAATATTGGAGGGGTGACAGGTAAGCTTCTAACATGGATGAAAAATTTTCTGACTGATAGAAAAATGAGGGCAGTGATCAGAGGCAATGTATCGGACTGGAGAAATGTCACAAGTGGAGTACCACAGGGTTCAGTTCTTGCACCAGTGATGTTTATTGTCTACATAAATGACCTACCAGTTGGTATACAGAATTATATGAACATGTTTGCTGATGATGCTAAGATAATAGGAAGGATAAGATACTTAAATGATTGTCATGCCCTTTAAGATGACCTGGACAAAATAAGTATATGGAGCACCACTTGGCAAATGGAATTTAATGTTAATAAATGCCATGTTATGGAATGTGGAATAGGAGAACATAGACCCCACACAACCTATATATTATGTGAGAAATCTTTAAAGAATTCTGGTAAAGAAAGAGATCTAGGGGTGGTTCTAGATAGAAAACTATCACCTGAGGACCACATAAAGAACATTGTGCGAGGAGCCTATGCCACGCTTTTTAACTTCAGAATTGCTTTTAAATACATGGATGGCGATATACTAAAGAAATTGTTCACGACTTTTGTTAGGCCAAAGCTAGAATATGCAGAGGTTGTGTGGTGCCCATATCTTAAGAAGCACATCAACAAACTGGAAAAGTTGCATAGACACGCTACTAAGTGGCTCCCAGAACTGAAGGGCAAGAGCTATGAGGAGAGGTTAGAGGCATTAAATATGCCAAAACTAGAAAACAGAAGAAAAAGAGGTGATATGATCACTACATACAAAATAGTAACAGGAATTAATAAAATCAATAGGGAGGAGTTCCTGAGACCTGGAACTTTAAGAACAAGAGGTCATAGATTTAAACTAGTTAAACACAGATGCCGAAGAAATATAAGAAAATTCACTTTCACAAACAGAGTGGTAGACGGTTGGAACAAGTTAGGTGAGAAGGTGGTGGAGGCCAAGACCGTCAGTAGTTTCAAAGCGTTATATGACAAAGAGTGCTGGGAAGACGGGACACCACGAGCATAGCTCTCATCCTGTAACTACACTTAGGTAATTACACTGCCCAGACCAAAACAAACCCCCACGGTGCATGCGCAGGACACGCTGGCCGAACCGCACAACCCGCTCTGCAGGAAGGCGCCAACCAGGACTACTGCACAGGAAAAGTAGCCAAACAGAATGCAACCCTAGGGAACCGCTAATTAGAAAAAACAACCCATCACACGGGACAGGAGCCAAAAGAGGAAGCAGGACAACATAATCGGCCAACGAAGCGAAGACAAGGAGCCCAATGGGAACCCAACTTTGCCACGAGTAGCCCAATACGGCGACCCGGACTAGGAGCCGACAGACGTTCTAATAATACGGGAAGTAGCGAAAACCTTCCCGAACCCTCGAGAACACAGAAGCAAACACCAGTCCCGAAGGCACACAAAGGCATAGTCGCACCCGAGACCAAAAGTCACGTAGAACCCCAAGAACAGGGAAACATGACGAATATACCCCATCCCAAAAAAGGGGGGAGCAACGGAGAAGAGCACCCACCTACAGGAAGGAACCAACTGACTCAAAGGACAAGGAACCGAGCTCGGGGAGGGGCTGACGCCCAACAACTCATACGGCGAGGGGGGAGGAAAGTCCCCACTCCTCGCAACCGCAAGCCCCGCCTAGAAGGGAGAAAAAAAAAACGCAGGGTCCTACGGGGCCTAGGCCCCCAAAGTCAGCCCCTCTCCTGCCCCGGGAACCCACACGACAGACCCCGTGGCCTAGCCGTCCCCCCAAAGCCCTGGCCGTATCAGAAAACCGGGGCAGCCGCAAAAATACGAAGGAAGGGAGCCCACTGGCAGACTTACAACATGGCTGGAGGAACAGGCTCGAATGCCCTCGTCACTACCCCGGAAGGGGAATTCCCTGAGACCGCCCGAGTCTCAAAATCATCGAACCCCGCCCCGAACCTACAGACAGTAAGGAACTGGATGGAGGCAGGAAGGGGGGATCCAGGGAAAAGACAAGGGGGCGTGGAAGGAACCGAAGCAACCCCCCCCCCCCCCAAGTCCCAACACGAACCAAAACGGGGCAGCCCCGGAGCTCCCGGGGAGCAAACAAACAAGAGCGTTGCCACCACCAAGGCTCAACATGCAACACACCTGCTGCCTGCACCTGTTTAGACAGCACACAACTGGGTAATCGAGCCACAACGAGCAACAAAACTCGCAGGACTCCGGGTCAAAGGTGTCATCGACCCCACAGGCAGCAGACGGAGGCAAAACAGAGTGTCACCCAGAGACAAGGGGTGAGAGCAACCCTCAAACTTGCTGGAAGCGAGGGGGTACTCCGGGGTCACATCCATCGGACCAGCACGCCCCCAGGGGTTTCCCAGGGTCCCGAGCGTTTACTATAATAGGACTCGCGCTCAGGTAATCCCAGACAGGGTACTGCTAACCGGCGCCCAAATCTACCAAACAACTTTCTAAGAGCTGAACCCCTGGGACATGTACACTCACGGGGACCTAGCAGGGGTGAACCACTAGAATAATACTCAGAACACAAGGGACACAGGGGGCAAGAACAAAGGCAGAGCCCCACCAGGTAGATAAACAAAAATAAAAAGAAAACCCCACAAGACGACAGCGTACCCAAGCGGAACAAGAGCCGGCCGCCATATAGGTGAAAACAGACTGCGCAGCACCCTGTGCCCCATCAATGCAAATTTGCCCCTTACCCTAAGGCGAACAAGGGAGACAGAACACCCGAGCACACAAAGAGTGGCCGAAAACGAAGCAGTAAACGGCCTGGCAGGGGCAGAACCCAAGGAACTTGTGGAAGGTGGCCCCAAGCCCCAAGGGCAGTACTTACAGGGCACCTAGGGTAGGGAACCCTAGGCGCATGCAGACCGAGTACTGGAGACTCACTCCCGGCTCACGCACCACCTAGAAGACAGACACCACACTCTAAGTACAGTGCTGAAACAACTACTGGAGCCGGAGCACACAACCGGTGCCCATAGCATCAGCCAAAGAACTGATGGGTGGATAGCCGGCGTGAGAGGTCAGGGGCTCCCCCTCCCGGGGAGGGGGGGCAGCTGCGCAGACAGCGGCGCGGTGACGTGTGATGTCATACTAGTTTGCTTGTTTTCTGTTGGGGAGTTCTATCCACTAGTTCGGCTTTTGGTAGCAATTTTAACCAGAATAGGGGGTTTGTTTTGAAATGCTTACCTTTCTGGATGCTTGACCCGGTCGATGGCAGACATAGAATGCTTCCAACCACACGGGTCCCAATATACAAAAAGGGCGACAGGCAAGAGGCACTGAACTACAGGCCAGTGTCCTTGACTTGTATACCATGCAAGGTGATGGAGAAGATCGTGAGAAAAAACCTGGTAACACATCTGGAGAGAAGGGACTTCGTGACAAATCGCCAACATGGGTTCAGGGAGGGTAAATCTTGTCTTACAGGCTTGATAGAATTCTACGATCAGGTGACAAAGATTAAGCAAGAAAGAGAGGGCTGGGCAGACTGCATTTTCTTGGATTGTCGGAAAGCCTTTGACACAGTACCGCATAAGAGGCTGGTACATAAGCTGGAGAGACAGGCAGGTGTAGCTGGTAAGGTGCTCCAGTGGATAAGGGAGTATCTAAGCAATAGGAAGCAGAGAGTTACGGTGAGGGGTGAGACCTCCGATTGGCGTGAAGTCACCAGTGGAGTCCCACAGGGCTCTGTACTCGGTCCTATCTTGTTTCTGATATATGTAAATGATCTCCCAGAGGGTATCGATTCATTTCTCTCAATGTTTGCGGACGATGCTAAAATTATGAGAAGGATTAAAACAGAAAAGGACTGTTTGAGGCTTCAAGAAGACCTAGACAAGCTGAAGGAATGGTCGAACAAATGGTTGTTAGAGTTTAACCCAACCAAATATAATGTAATGAAGATAGGTGTAGGGAGCAGGAGGCCAGATACAAGGTATCATCTGGGAGAGGAAATTCTTCAGGAGTCAGAGAAGGAAAAAGACTTGGGGGTTGATATCACGCCAGACCTGTCTCCTGCAGCACATATCAAGCGGATAACATCAGCGGCATATGCCAGGCTGGCCAACATACGAACGGCATTCAGAAACTTGTGTAAAGAATCATTCAGAACTTTGTATACCACATATGTCAGGCCAATCCTGGAATATGCAGCCCCAGCATGGAGTCCATATCTAGTCAAGGATAAGACTAAACTGGAAAAGGTTCAAAGGTTTGCCACCAGACTAGTACCCGAGCTGAGAGGTATGAGCTACGAGGAGAGACTACGGGAATTAAACCTCACTTCGCTGGAAGACAGAAGAGTTAGGGGGGACATGATCACCACATTCAAGATTCTGAAGGGAATTGATAGGGTAGATAAAGACAGGCTATTTAACACAAGGGGTACATGCTCTAGGGGACACAGGTGGAAACTGAGCGCCCAAATGAGCCACAGAGATATTAGAAAGAACTTTTTTAGTGTCAGAGTGGTTGACAAATGGAATGCATTAGGCAGTGATGTGGTGGAAGCTGACTCCATACACAGTTTAAAGTTTAGATATGATAGAGCCCGATAGGCTCAGGAATCTGTACACCTGTTGATTGATGGTTGAGAGGCGGGACCAAAGAGCCAGAGCTCAACCCCCGCAAACACAACTAGGTGAGTACAACTAGGTGAGTACGGGGGTTTCTATAGGCCATTGCTCCCCTTGCCTCTCTGAGGGGGCCAGGTTCTGGCCGTGGTCCCCGGTAGGCCCTAGCCCTAGAACTCCATACACATGACTGATGCCAAAGTCTGACATTAGCATATCAGCCGGTAAAGCTCCGGGGAGCCGACGGGGCTCCCCCCAGAAATGTCTCCATATACGGACAGAAATCCTGATAACTGGAGATTAAGTTACCAAAATTTTCAAGAATTACTCATTTTAAGATCTACAGTATCAAACAAGACAACAAACAACAACAAGGTAAGTTGAAATCTCTGATTTAAAATATATTTTTGATTTATAGTGTGCATGGAAATTAAAATTATGTTGGAAGTGGTACAAAAACTTGTGAATGTGGTAATTTTTTAACTTTCCCTGGTAAGAATTCTGGTTATCCAGATGCGTGGCTTATCCAGCGAGGGGTTCTTCCCATACAGTCCAGATAAGTGAGCTTAGACAGTACATTTTCATAACAAACATGACACTACCTGTATACCTTACTATCCTCCCTCGTACTCTACCCAAAATTTAACTTTCTGCTTCTTTCATTATTCATTTGTCAAAAAAAGTAAAAATCCAATGCATCAATTCTAAAAAGAGCAAAGATACCTTCATGCCAGCCTCCATTGGAGTGAGATCAGCAAAGGGTACTTCACGTGTGGCCATCTCCCATAACGTGACAGCAAAGCTCCACATGTCTGCTGCCTTTACATTGAGCTCTTTAGGTTTCTTCTGAAGGGCTGAGAATGAAAAATATATATATATACTACAGTATTGGGTATTTGTACATATCCACACAATACTAATCTGAAGATTGGTGTACAGATAAACTGTACCTGGAAGTAGCGCAAGACAAGCCATGATGATAATTATACATATATGATATTATTTGTTACGCACTTTGGATCTATAAGAATACTGCATTAATGTACTGTAACCTTGCAGCTCATGTACTTACCTTCTGGGGAGAACCACTGTGGAGAATAGAGCTTGCCTCGTTCCTGGAATGAAAACTTTGCATCTGCCATGCTGATACGAGCTGTGAGATCATCATCAATCTGAAACATAAATATTGCAATTATATTAACTTCTATCTCTATTCATAGCCTTTTATGATTTGTTCCTCACGGTTATCTTGAGGTTATCTTGAGACGATTTTGGAGCTTAGCGTCCGCGCGGCCTGGTCCTCGACCAGGCCTCTTTGTTACACATTCCCCAGGAAGCAGCCCGTAGCAGCTGTCTAACTCCCAGGTACCTATTTGCTGCTAGGTAACAGAAGCATCAGGGTGAAACATTTTGCCCATTTGTCTCCGCCTCCACCGGTGATCGAACCCGGAACCTCAGGACTACGAATCCGAAGCGCTGTCCACCCAGTTGTCAGGCGCCCCGTGCAGGCATTTCAGATATTTTATCATTTATAATCAAATGATTAGTTTTTACCACTATTTGAGAGGACAAAAATTCACATTGCCTTGAGTGCAAGAGTTGAGCACGTCTAGAGCAAGTGAGTGCATTTTGTCACACTGTGCACTTTATGTGCACAATCCTTAACTGCTTTGTTATGCAGTTAGGACAGTTGTGTTTACTAACATTGGAAAGCCAATGACATGAGCATTCGATTGGTGTTACGATGACCATTGTACATGGATTATGAAGAATACTATGAGGAGCAGAATTACAACCATCTGAAAACCAGTATGTATTATTCAGCATGGATGTATAGCAAAAAGGAGTCAAGTGGTAGTTGGAAAGTGTTGATGTTACTGTGAGGTCATTTATTCCTCTAGGGACTGCCTGAAGCAAGATGATCAGATCAGATCCCCTAGGTGTGATGTCTCATACACACTCCTACCCATTTTGGGAAGTTTGCACCCTCCCTAGATGTGGGAACCAACCTGTGAGATTTATATTTATTTAATTTATATGAATTTATATTTACGTTAATTTATATACTTCGATAGCAATTTGTATGATGTTAAGTGGACTGTATTTCTGCAATAATCTCACAAATCGATCCTCTACACATTAGGGGGGTTTATATTGAATTTATATATATGCAGCCAATCAAACTACAGTATTAACTACACATTAGTGTACATTGAAGAGGTTCCTTATCTTATTTGTACAGCAGGCCTTAGTCCACCAGGTATAACTAGGGTGTAGACACCAAATTTTCCTCATGTGAGGTGGCTTCCATCACCCTGTTAACTGATGCACAAAGCATGCTTCCTCGTCTTGACCTGTCAAAAGGGCACTAGCTGTAAAGCCAGAATCCTAATATATGACAGCTATATCAGAGAAAACACTGTACAAGGAACCATAAAGACCTAGGCTTAATTACCTTGTTTGAGTCGATCATTCGTGTTCTAACCGGTACGCCCTATCTACTGACATTAATGGCCAAAAATGATTAGATAAACGGGTTTCGGAAAGACACTTCCCTTGAGATTGATGACAGCGTGTTGATGACGGCAGATCACTACGCTGATCTTCCATAACACTTTGTCCAAGAGAATTTATAGGAGCCGAATTTGCTCCAAGACTCTGTGGTCTAACAATAACAATGGCTGACCACTCCCTCACAACTGACCCTACTGGCCTACATTGTCCAGATGACAGCAAGTGATAGAAGGGTCACATTTACTCTATTTTAATTCTGATAATTAAGTTAATTTATATGAGATGTTTTTATGATGGTAAAGTCCAAAGACTAATGTATTTAAGAATAATTCCCACCATAATAGGTGGTGAATTTATAATAGTATGTGGTAATGATATCCCGTTTTCTATAGACGAAAATTCCACTACAAGTTACATTTTCTATGGGTTAACTTGTTTATACAACACAGCAATATTATCTGCCTGTATGATACAGTATCCACTCAATTTAACAGCCTATATGGGGCTGAGCCCAAGTCGTTATTTACGGAGCTCCGTTATTTCTGACGTTAAGTTGGGTCGGGTAATTTTTCAAGTAACATTCAGGTAGGATATATTTTATACTGTATAACTAAAATTAAATAAAGTTCATTGTGTAATTGCATTCCAATTTAGTGCACGGCCGACGATTAAGCCAGTTGCTGGCTGCTGCATGGATGATGTGTGAACACGCTCTGATCAAGTCCAGATGGGTGGGAAAAAATTGATTCATTCCTTTGTATTGAAAAATATTTTATGTATCAATCAGTGAGTTAATATTGTCTTAATAAAATTTTAGAGATGTGTTTTGATTTACCCTGAACAGTGCAGGTAATGTATTTTTAATGTTACGACACAGGCTGTGGCGGCCATGCCATAACAATGGCGATCGAGCCTTGTCACTGAGAGCTAGCCAAGACGAAATATTTTGAGCTCACCTTTTCTCTGCTGACGATAGAATATACATTTGCAGAGACTAATATGTAGCTTTTGTTGAAAAAAAACAATTAATATCTTGTAATACTATAATAAAATTGGTAAATTGACTTTTAATGTTACGACACAGGCTGTGGCGGCCATGCCATAACAATGGCGATCGAGCCTTGTCACTGAGAGCTAGCCAAGACGAAATATTTTGAGCTCACCTTTTCTCTGCTGACGATAGAATATACATTTGCAGAGACTAATATGTAGCTTTTGTTGAAAAAAAACAATTAATATCTTGTAATACTATAATAAAATTGGTAAATTGACTTACTTTTAATGAAGCTGAAGATTACGAAGCTGTGAAGATTACGTCATCCTCTGCAGCGCTTGTTTTATATTGTTTATATTGTATACAGGGTACATACTGTATGTACAGTACACTTATTTTCAGGCACTCACTTCACACAACAGCTAGCCTTACTACTAATTCACATGAGTTCTAATTCTACTTCACTATTGACAATTATGTTGAATGTTAAACTCTGCTGCTGCTCATGCATGAGAATATCCTTTATCAAGTTTCTTAATTAACTCCAGCTTCTGTGCAACCGTCAGGCGCTTCCTTTGGGTAACTTTTGGCATTTTGTAAATTAAAAAGATCACAATTACAGTACAGTAATATCCTTCACAATTGAAGCTAGCCGCGCGAGTTCACGGTAAACAATGGGAACACATGGCCGGCGGAGTACATACTAGGTCCGTGGGAAAAAAAATACCTAGTGCCTATACATACTATAAAGGTATTTAATAAGAAAACAAAGACTTTTGCTTAATAAAAACTGTTTCAAAATATTTTATTAATAATAATTTACAATTTTCTTCATTAAAGTGAATCATTTTAAAAGAAAATTAAGATGTAATATATGACTCTGGACGATCCAGGTCGGTGGCGGCCTGGTCGCCATGTGAGGGGACGCTGATGCCACAACAAACCCAATACTGACTGTCGGTAATATCGACCGCAGACCAGTATAGCAGGCTCTAGATACTGGGCTCCCAAACCGGTCGTTAATACCGGCAGATCGGTATAAAAGAGGCCGTTAAATTGAGTGGATACTTATTATTAAATGGTGTCGGATTTTCCGACACTAGATGTTACTACAGCTGCTCTGCGATTGGCCAGTTATGTTAACTGTTGCCTGATTGGGCTTGACATCTCTGTCAAGTCATTATGTGGAGAGGTCTGGAGAGCTGTTTCCCGACTCAGCCAAGAATGGAATAGCATAACTTCTCATTCGACATCCATGAAAGTTCTACAAACCACTTATCGAGTGTCTATGACTTGTCTATGACTCTTAGAATAAACCCAAGCCAGTACGTTCGTTATAGAGGCTGTACAGAGGAATTTTGTTGACGTCAAAAGTGAACATAGCCTACAGATTCTACGGGATAAAAGTGTTGAAGAAGCCACAGACTGCTTAAATTGTCAAATGTCAGTGGAATCGTCACCAGTACAGCCTGTTGCCCATTCACCTACCTTAACTCTCTTACATTATTGTGCTGCAAGTGTCAAAGATAGTTTCTTATTGTCACTCAAGAATGAAATGCAGGAGTACCTCGGTTTAAGAGTAATCCGTTCCTGGAGACAGCTCATAACCCGAAAACTCGTAACCAGAAGCTAATTTCCCCATAAGAAATAATGGGAAATGAATTAATCCGTTCCTGACTAAACAAAAACCTCACTTCAAACTAAATTTTATACCTAATTCATCTAAATCTACACTACAAAACTATGTTCAAGTTATTACTTACCATTGCTAATGACTGCTTTTGGTGTATGGAAGATGGTGTGGAGGGGGGAGGAGAAGAGATGTTACTGTTTGGAAGGGGAGTCCCCATCCATTATAACATCAGGCAGTGAGGACTTCTCTGGTTTGCACTCTCTGGCCCGTTTTGCCTGCATACCACTAGGACCTGCTTGTGGCTCACTGCTTGCTAGTCTTACTAAGAATCTGTCTAAAGACACTTGTTTTTCCTTACATTTTAACCCTTTAATTTTAATTTTCCCACACTCAGGGAGCACTTAACACTATAAGGCAAAATCATTTTTTTTTCTATCTCACAAAGAGGTAGAAAAAATGCTTCTGAAATGCTTGCACAGTACAAGAGTTAACTCGCGTCAATGATGCTTTGCTTCTTTACCCCTGGGCACCAACTTATTTTAAAGCAGATGCTTGTTTTGTGCACGAGAAGCACAAGAGAGGAAGAAAAATACATGGAAAAAGTAGAGAGAGTTAACATCAGAGGAAAAGAGAGATGCACTAAAGAGAACCAGAAATAATTACACAAGAGTCAGGAGGGAAGCTTAGAGGCAATTTGAAAAGGACATACTAGCAAAAGCTAAGGACTAACAAAGCTCTCTTATAGCCATATAAGGAAAAAACCAACAGTCAGAGACCACATGATAAGGTTAAAGAGGCAAGGGGGGAAAGTCTTACGGAAAACAAGGAGGAGGTATGTGAGGAAATAAATAAAAGATTCCAGAAGGTCTTTAATATGGAACCAATGTGGGGGACCAGAGCCGAGTGCTGGAAGGCCAGAAGAATCACTGGATGACATAGTAGTCATCATGGAAGAGGATAAAAAACCGGCGTTGAATATAATGAAACGCTATTTTCTGGGTGAGACCCGGAGGCTCCCTGGAGTTTACTAG